AGCTTAGAGAGGGCTGTAAAGTACTGTGAAGCAGTATATGAGTCTAAGTACTATAATTACTTTGTTTCAGATAGCAAAAAAATATGGCCCTGTCTTCAGTCTTTATCTTGGAAGAACACCTGTGGTCTTGACCCATGGCTTTCCTTCAGCAAAGGAGGTTCTCGTGATAAAAGACACCGAATTTGCTGGGAGGCCAGCATTTCCTATATTGGATTACCTCACTAGGAAGAAAGGTAGTTGTATATAATTTCTTTTTGTCTTTTTCAAATGCCTGTTTGTTCTTGGTAGGGCTCCCATTCTGTGACCCAGCTGCAAATAATCTTTTTTGTCTGCATTCTGGAGTTCTGACCCAAGGTTTCTAGTAAGAGAAGGAATAGCCTCTTTAAATGTTAGAATTAGCTCCCTTCTTCTTCTTTTCTTTGCAACATTTATGTTTTTTTAAAAAGCCCATATCTTTACTGATAAGCAAAATAAGGGCTATTAAGTCCAAGATGATTTTCCCTTTTTAGGTTTACTGACAATAAGTTATGGTGAAATGTGGAAGGAGCAAAGAAGGTTTTCAGGGAGGCTTCTCAGAAACTTTGGAGTGAGCAGAAAATCCATGGAAGAAAATATCCTGGAGGAAGTAACTTGTTTGATTCAAACATTCACTGAAAACATGAGTAAGCTCTCCTGGGAGATGATGGGATGGTTGGGGAATTGTCATTCCAGGGTTGGTTTTGGTTTCCATGGGACCCAACTGAGTTGGTCTCAAGGTTAACCATTAAGTGTTTGTGTTGAAGCAGAGAATAGAATAGAATAGAATAGAATAGAATAGAATAGAATAGAATAGAATAGAATTCTTTATTGGCCAAGTGTGATTGGACACACAAGGAATTTGTCTTGGTGTAAATACTCTCAGTATACATAAAGAAAAGATACATTCGTTAAGAATCAAGAATCATAATGTACAACACTTAATGATAGTCATAGGGTACAATCAACAATCAAATCATAGTAGGAAACAGTCAATATAAATCGTAAGGATACAAGCAACACAGTTACAGTCTTACAATGACAAGTGGGAGGGGGATGGGTGATAAGGAGTGATGAGAAGATTAACAGTAATAGTAATGCACACTTTGTAAATAGTTGAACAATGTTGAGGGAATTATTTGTTTAGCAAAGTGAT